TACATGCCCTTGACCGGAATCGAACCTGGGACCTTTCAGTCCGCAGGCTGACGCTCTATCCACTGAGCCAAACCGGTTTCGGCTGGAGGACTAGTTTTAACTTATTTATTTACTCTCTGGCTTACAAACGTGACATTCTCCTGGGAACTACCCTCCCCGGGTGCTTTTAGAAACCATGATGATGAGAAAGAGCTGCCACCACCGGCTGGTTGAGTGCTTCTCATGGTACTAAAGCCTAAGAGACGGGCGCGTGGGGGCACTCATGCAGTCTAATTAGAAAAAATCAGAAAGGCTTTCTCCATCTCTCTGACTGCTGGTCTCGCCCACCCTGCCCTTTTCTGAAACCCCCACGGGGCTACCTCCCAGGGCTTTAAAAGGCAAGAACCTCCTTTTCCATCATCGCAGCCCAAAGTGGCCTGGATCCCGGTGCTCTCATGTAAGTGCTTGTGGACTGTAACTGCTGAGGTTCACTCGCGTATTCCTGAATTTATGACCTGTTTGGTGCCAATCAGATGAGGTTATCAATAGAAAAGGTTACAGGAACTGCTCACAGAAACTATCCCTAAAATACTTCATTTTAGACAGTTGCGCAATGCAGGCTCTGGGCCAGTTCCCTCCGGCCTCCTGGCAATGAGGACAGAGGTGCGCCTATAGAGTGTATGTGTGTGTGGCGGCTTATTCACCCCTTCATTTGTTCATTCTCATCTTATAACACCAGTCATAGCAACCACCTCCTAGGTCGCCATGGGGATGAAATGAAGTAATTCTCACAAGCACACTTTTGTTATTACTCAGCAACCATGACAGAGCCTGGACTATTGATGGGTACACAGACTCTCCATACGGGAAAAAAACCGGATGGTGTATGTGTCAAAGGGTTAAATTCCGAGTTTTCTAAAGAGCTCCCTAAATCATGAGAACAGAAACTGGGTAACAGGTAGAAACAGACAGTCTGTGGGGAAGGAAATGTGACTGGCTTTTAAATGTGAAAACCCACTGAGCCTCACTGTCCACAATGGGACTGAGCACTTGTCTTGACTGAGGAATCATTTTTCATTGGGGAGAACAAGACATTTTCCATCATTATTGGGGCAGGTGTGGGGACACAGACAACCTCATGTATTAACGGAAAAGTCGATGAAAATCTGAAATGCATATGGTCTTTAGCCTGGCAATTCAACTCCTAGGGTGGTGGTTTTTTGTGTGCAATTATACTTCCGCATGCACAAAAATAAACCTGCTCACGAACACATTGGTTTTACTAGCAAAATTCCAGAAATAATGTAAAGATACTTTAATAGAGTATTGGATACAGGAATTATATATTTATATAACTGCATATAAACATACATGTAGGGTGTCCCGAAAATGTATACACACACTTTGAATATTTATAGAGGCAGTGTTTATGAAAATATATTTTGTTTTCAAAATTGAGCTACCAGCTATTACAGTGTGTATACATTTTGGGGGGGGGACACCCTGTACTTATAGAACAATAAATGATAATAAATGGAAGTCGTATAGGTGACATTGTGGAACTATCTCCTGGATAGAATTTTAGCAAAAAGGGAGATGCAGAATTCGTGTCCGTTAGGCTACCGCGAGTATAAAAATGTGTCCTCTTAACCCTTGTACATGCCTCGTCGGCCTTCAGAGGGCGCCCCAGAGCCTGGTAGCAGTCTCTGCCTCAGGCCTGTAACAGTAGAGAGAAGAGATGGAGGGGAACTAATTTTTATTAAATACTCTTTCTGCACTTTAGGTTCTGTGCTTTGAACATAATATTTGAGCATTACTCCTTCAAATAAATAAAATGCAATCCTTAGAGAGAGGAGAGAGCGAAGGTCCCTGTCCCCCAGGCATTGGTAGCCTCAGGGGAGTGGCCGGAAGAGCATTGGTGCCCAGGGAAGATGTGTGTTCAGCCTTCACTACTTGGAGGCCATGCTTTCTTGGGCAAGTCGCAGGTGCCCCGAGCCTCAGTACCTGCAAATGCAAAATGAGTGAAACGGGAGGAGGGATGTGAAAGGTGTTCATCACATGCGAGGCACCTCGGCTTCCGGCGCACCGTCCTGGGAGCCGGATTTTGTGATTATCTCCCTCAGAAGGAGCCACTGAGGAGGAGAAGTTGCTGAGCAGAAAGATGATGAGATACTGGGCCAACTTTGCTCGGACGGGGTAAGTACGCCTCAGGGGCCTCCCTACAGTTGGGCGCTTGAGGATGAAAAGCTCACCCCCATCCCCCAACACCCTCCAACTCCCCGTTTTTTCTCTCACTCCCAGGAACCCTAACGGAGCTGGCCTGCCTCAGTGGCCGGCTTACGATCAGAAGGAGCAGTACCTGCAGCTGGATTTGAACCTGAGTGTGGGGCAGGGATTGAGAGCGCAGAAGGTGGAGTTTTGGATGGAAACCCTCCCTTTGATCATGGCCACTTCCGGGGGGGCCCAACTGGGTCCTCTTTTCTCCCTCATCTTCCTTTCTCTGCTTCTGCCTTCCTTTTCCTCTTTTTCTCATGGAGCGGGTATCTCTGTGTGAATTTGCTTTTCCTCCTCCCGCTTCAATGTCTCCCGCTATCGTTGGCTTCTTTCTGTTGTTCAGCTACTTTACGGAATCGGCTGCTTCCGCTGATCCTTAGGGAATTCTTTGCAACATCAAAAAAAGTGCAATTTGCCTCGAAGGCTACCAGATCTCTTCAATACATCTACAGGGGGGTTGGCATAATGATGATCGTGTTATGCATATGAAATAAAAGCAGAATGTAAAATACGTGTGGGGAACAGAATTTAATTCTGGGCTAAAAACTACCCCCCTTCCCCCAAAACACACACACCCAACACCCAAGAGGAAGTAGACTGTCTATCACAGCGGTTCTCAACCTGTGGGTCCCGACCCCTTTGGGGCTCGAACGTCCCTTTCACGGGGGTCGCCTAAGACCATCAGAAAACACATATATAATTACATATTGTTTTTGTGATGAATCACTATGCTTTAATGATGTTCAATTTGTAACAATGAAATTGGGGGTCACCACCACTTGAGGAACTGTATTAAAGGGTCGCGGCATTAGGAAGGTTGAGAACCACTGGTCTATCAGAAAAGGTGTCTGCTTGTGTTACCTGAAATGTGAGTCTTCCAACCCCCCTCCAGGCATGTTGCAGGCACAGCCAAGCTTGGATGTCCTGACCATCGCTGGCTTGAACAGGGTTCTTCTGTGGCTCAGAGAGAGGTGGGGGAGGGAGGCATGCCAGCCAGCCTCCTTCTCAGCAATGGAAACCAGACACCCGCTAAGGTCAGGAACCCAGAAGTCACACTCCAGGCAGCAAGGTCAGGTCAAGGACACCAAGGGGAAGAGATGTTTCCCCGATGGGGTGGAGGCGAATTGATCGTTCAGGAAATCGACACTGGGTGCCTGCTGTGTACCGGCGTATCCCCTCTGGGAGACACGGTGAGCCAAGACCTGCTCTCCCTCAACTGGTGAGCAGACAGACGGAGCCAGCTTCACCCAAGTGATTATCTTACTGTGTATGTTTGTTCATTTCACTCAGTGGAAGTAAGGTGTTTTAAGAAAGTTGTAACAAGGAAATCTGCTTTAGATTGAAGTCTTAGGGCGCTGTCTCTGGAAACATTTATCATTTTAACAAGGAGGCATTGCCGTTAACCAGAAGATGGGCAGGGAGAATTATGCCTACCATCATTCAAAGGATGCACTTTTACTTTTTTTTTAAATGAGATGTCACTTAAAATGTATCTTTTTATTGATTTCAGAGAGGAAGGGGAGGGAGAGAGAGGGAAACATCAATGATGAGAGAGTCACTGACCCGCTGCCTCCTGCACACCAAACACTGGGGATGGAGCCCATCACCAGCGCAGGTGCCCCGACCGGAAATGAACCGTGACCTTCCGGTTCAGAGGTCGGCGCTCGACCACTGAGGCGCACAGGCGGGAGACGCCATTTTCTTTCCCTCCGTCAGGAGCCACGCGGAGTAGGTGGGGAGCCCCTGGGCGCAGGGGAGTTGGAGAGGCACGTCCGACCCGAGCAAGGGCGCCAGGAAGAGGACCCTGGCCTCAGGCCCGGAGCGGACCGGGAGGCGGGAAGGTAAGGGCACCTGCGTGCCTGGCGCCCGCAGCTCAGCGCGGGCACGGCCATGAGGAGGCGCCGGTGGGGGCTGGCGGTGCGGGTGCGCGGACACAGGAAGCTGCGTCAGCGGGGAGTGAGGGCCCCCGGGGTGGGGCCGGCGGGGACTCCTCACCTCGCTACTCCGCTCGCCTTTGTGTCTGCAGCCTTGGGCCCTCGGCCGCCTGTGCCTCCAGCAGCGCGTCACCTCCGCTTTCACTTATTATATCCACACCGTCCCTGTTACACCCTGATCGCAGGGGCCAGGCTCATTCATGTGTCTCTGTGACGGCTTCACGATGACGCACGGGCGACACAGAATGAGGGGGTTTCTGAGGCGCCAGTCACTTAGGGTTCACCTGGTTCATCCACTTATCGTCGGATTCGGGTCCCCAGAATGGTTCTCTTCAGCCCACATCAGGTCAAAGCATGGCTTTGGAACTAGCTTCCAGCTAATTTTAAATCCGGGGACTTTCACATTAAAGGCCGTGTTTCTAGTTTCTCCGGAAGAAGAAAAAAAGAGAGAGAACTATGAGCAGTGGGGCTGCTTTCTCACCTGTAACAGGGACCTCCGACAGCTCACACAGCACCTTTGTGTAAATGAGAGCAGCCTCTCCTCTCCACCCTCCGCAGGTGTCTTACAGGCTCGGCTGTCCTCACCCCCCCCCCCCCCCCCAGCTCTCAGCTTCCCAGGTCCCCACAATTCCCCCGAGGCCTTCTTCACTCACTGATAGTACCTGGCCTCGGGAGGTATTTAAGTTTGGACCCCTGACCCCTCATCCTATATAATAAAAACCTAATGTGCCAAGTGTCCAGTCCTCCAGTCGTCCATTCAGCCAATCAAAGTGTAATATGCTAATGATATGCTAAGCCCGCTCTGCTGCTCACTGTGACATGCAGGACACTAGGGGGCAGAGGGTCGACCATTCGCTATGACGTGCACTGACCACCAGGGGCAGATGCTCCAACAGGTCGGCTGGCTTGCTGCTGGGGTCTGGCTGATCGGGACTGAGCAAGACCAGCCTGACACGCCCTGGAACCCTCCCACAGCCTCACCCTGATCATGCACCTGTGGGGTCCCTCAGCCTGGCCTGCACCCTCTCGCAATCTGGGACCCCCTCAGGGGATATTGGAAAGCTGGTTTCGGCCCGATCCTGCAGGCCAGGCCAAAGGACCCCATTGGGGCACAAATTGGGCCTCTAGTTTTACAATAATCTGAAAAGGTGCAGGGATTCCCCCCAAAATTCCTTAGTGAGCCAGGCTGGCGTGGCCCAGTGGTTGAACATCGACTTACAAACCAGGAGGTCACCGTTTAATTCCTGGTTGGGGCACATGCCCAGGTTGTAGGTTTGATCCCCAGTGTGGGGCATGGAGGTCGCTGATCAATGATTCTCTCTCATCATTGATGTTACTATCTCTCCCTCTCTCCCTTCCTCTTGGAAATCAATAAAAATATATTTAAAAGTATATTTTAAAAAGAACTGCTGATTATTATTGTGTCATATGCATTTACCTAGTTGCTGAAGGATCTTTAAAAAAAAACCAGCCTGCACACCTGTCTGGTGTGGCGACATCAAAGTCTTTTCAGCCACTAGCCGGCTCCTGGGCATCTGTGGGCATCATTTGATGAACAAATTTGAGAATGAGTGCTTTTAGTTAAACTTCCTTCTGGCATCTGGAGGTGCAGGGCCAAGGCCATGCCCTTTTAAAATTATTCTTATGTCTTACAAATTCACTTCCCAAAAGGGTCGTGTCACTTCATATCCATGGGAAACACATGCATTTCACAGTCACCTCTGCTTTCTCATAATTGAGAAAACAAGATATTTAATTTCTTTCTAATTAAACATGTAGGTTTACAGAAAATCCTTTTCTTCCCCTCCCAAACAATCTTGGATCTGAATCACTACGTAAATCAAACCCAAATAAAACTGCAGAAACAAATCAGATGTTTTTGCCTGTGAATTTCCTAATATCCAGCAGAGGGCAGCATCACAAAAGGGGAAAAGGGCTTCCCTCCCAGGCTTTTAGGTGGGTGTGATGGGATGGAGCATAGAACCTGGAAGGAAAAGAACACGAGTCAAAACAGTTAAATTACCAACTACTACCATTTATCCTTGTCCCTTTCCCCTGGTGCATCTGGAACAGTGGTTCTCAACCTTCTGGCCCTTTAAATACAGTTCCTCATGTTGTGACCCAACCATAAAATTATTTTCGTTGCTACTTCATAACAGTAATGTTGCTACTGTTGATGAATCGTCATGTAAATATCTGATATGCAGGATAGTCTTAGGTGACCCCTTTGAAAGGGTTGTTTGACCGCCCAGGGGGTCGCGACCCACAGGTTGAGAACCGCTGATCTGGAAGGTGAGAAGGTGCTCTCTGACCTGAAAAGTCTGACTGGAAGCACTCGCAGGCAGAGCAGAGGCAGGGCCAGCCGTAGTTTTCTTTCCTGAAGTTCATAAGTCCCCATCAAATGTAAGCGCCACCTCCTCTCCCCTATGGCGCCCTGTTCCTCCCTTGGGCACTTTGGACTCTGGACCTTTCTGCCCAATCGCAAAGCCCAGGTCTCCTCCCCCACAGCCTCTGGGCCTGGCTGCAGGTCAAGGCTTTTCCCTGGGCAGAGGTGGAGGCGGGCTCACCCATGCACCCGGGGAAGCTGCCCTGCCTGGCGCTGCCCCAGACAACACGTACACAAGACAAACCTCCTTCCCATAGCAAGATGGACCCATTGGGCACAGCCATGTGTTCTGCTAAAAGTTTGTTTTAAGAGTTCGTTTTATTCCCTGGGAAGCAAGGGGATTTGTCACAGTACAAAGCAATTTGTTGGCAAAGAGACTTGTTCTCCATGGACGGGTCAGAGTTCAAGTTGGGCCTTTAAGGTTGGACAGGAGGATAGAGGCCAACAAGATGTGGTGGAAATAGCCATGGGGGGGGGCAGCCTAGTGGGCAGTGTGGCTGCGTTTGGCAAGGTGGCTGGAGCATACCTTGGAGGCCTAGAGGGTAGCTTTTAACCTTGACCTACAGGAAACAGACTTCTTTCTTTTCGGGGCTTGGGGGGGAGATGATTGATAAAAAGTGAATTCATCTACCCATATGGCTGTCCATCCATCCATCTATCATTATCTAATCTATCTGGGCCCCTTTATATAATTACACTTGAAGCTCTATATACCTCATGGAATTTCCTGTGTAAGAGCCAATATATTCAATATATGCTTTAGGTAAGGTAAATAGGATCTCTGTGAGTACATACACTATAGTCCTCATCAAAATAATTGCAGTTGACTATTTGCATTCTATTCTATTTCTAATACTTACATAGTCTTTAGTAATGTTTCTGTAACAGTCTTGTCTCCATTAGATAGTATGTTCCGAAGGCCTGGAACACATTTTTAAGTTTTTAATGGAATATAATATACATGTAAGAAATTATGATATAGAGTATAATATGATACATAGGTTAATATGTAAATTAGGGTAACCATATTATATCACATACTAGAGGCCTGGTGCATGAATTCATGCACCAGTGAGGTCCCCCGGCCTGGCCTGTGGGATCAGGCCAAAACTTGCTCTCCGACATCCCCCAAGGGGTCCCGGATTGCAAGGGGGTGCAGGCCAGGTTGAGGGACCCCACCAGTGCACTGGATCCCATTGGGGCTGGGGAGGGAAGTGGGAGGTTGGCCAGCCAGACCACAGGAGGGCTCCAAGGCATGTCTCACTCAGTCCCAATCAGCCAGACCCCAGCAGCAAGCTAACCTACCAGTCAGAGTGTCTGCCCCCTGGTAATCAGTGCACATCATAGCTAGCAGTTGAGCGGCCTTAGTATATCATTAGCATATTATGCTTTGGTTGGTTGAACAGATGACTGGACAACCAGATACTTAGCGTATTAGGCTTTTATTATATAGGATAGTTTAGTGATATATAATATATAGCATAGTATATATGTTCTATATATATTATATATGGTGCCCTCATGAATTGTCACTGACTGGTGATGCTTGCGTACCCAGCCCCTAGATCAGGGGTGGGCAAACTTTTTGACTCGAGGGCCACAATGGGTTCTTAAACTGGACTGGAGGGCCGGAACAAAAGCATGGATGGAGTGTTTGTGTGAACTAATACAAATTCAAAGTAAACATCATTACATAAAAGGGTACAGTCTTTTTTTTCAATAGTTTTATTCTGTTCAAACAGGCCGAATCCGGCCCGCGGGCCATAGTTTGCCCACAGCTGCCCTAGATCAAGGCACAGGAGATGGTCAGGATCCCAGCATCTGGAACTCAGGTCCAGTCCCTGCCCACCCTATCAGTCCAAGGTCACCTCCATCCTGACTTGTAGCAGCGTGCTGTCATCATCCTGGATGTTGTGCTTCATATAAACAGAATTGCTTGCTCCTGCATCTGGCTTCTTTCCATCCACATCGTGTGTGTGACAATGTCAGTATGTGGCTGCAAATTTTCATCATTGCTGTGGACTCATTATGTGTGTGAATAGGTCATCAATTACCCATTCTACTCTTGATGGGCACTTGGATCCTTTCCAGTTTCCGGGTATTATGAGTAGAATATTATGAATATTCTAGAACTTGGCATTCATTGACAACCTGCATGCCTTTCTTTTGGATCTTTATCGACCACTGGCTTTTCTGGGTCCCGGGCGGTCGTCTATGGCAACTTTATTCAACACACCCAAAGTTTCCTGAAATGGTTACACAAATGTGCCCTCCTTACCAGCAGACTAAGAGATTTCCGGCTGCTCCGTGTTGTTGTCAATACTTTGGTATTTTCAGAGGACTACGACACGTTCATTCTTATTAATGACTGGATATTTCCTTGATTCGTTTGGTTAGGTGTAACAATTTATTTACAAAATTGCATTCCACAAAACAAGTTACTTGATAGGAAGAGAGGGCCATGGAAGATCAGTTGGTAATACAAGAGCAGGGACAATGTTGTCCACTGCTGTAGAACAATTCCAGCATGTCATAATTTCAAGAGATTCACCAAAAGGTTGATGAGACTTGGGGACTCAACAGGGTTGAGTCACACATGTAGTCACCTTTTGGGAATGGCTAAAGGCATTTCCCCAAACCTGAATAGGATACATTAAATTGGTTGCTTGGCTGCCAGACAGTTAAAAGGCATCTTAATCTACATGTTATTGTCTCCTGCTGGCCAAACACCTGTACCTCCTGTAGGCTATTCCCCAAACTGACAATGCTTCTGTACCCTTTGAAATCTTACCCTTTGAAGTGTATTATCTCTGCCTTGCCTTAGGACAAATTGTGTTAATAAAAAGCAAGGGTCCTAGACAAGGAGGGAGTCTTCAGTTCCTTTAGCTGAAGGTCCTCTGACCCCCAGTGCCTTTCAAAATTATCTTTCATCTCCGGACTCTTTATTAGTCTCTGGATTCCTATGTCATCTACACACAGCCTTCTCTAGATTCCTGAACCCTTCTTGATGCTGGGACAAGAACCCCGGCAGTCCACCCTCAGGGCCATGAGGAGGGAGGTGGCCAGGCGTTGGCGTTACCAGGAGTCACCGTTACTGCAGTCATTTCTTGAGCTTCAGGCCACTGCCTCCTTTTGACCCTCAGATTTCTGGGCAGAAATCATATTATGTTACTGCTGCCAAGGCTTCTGATCTCAGTTATAATCAGGTGATTGGGTTCCCTGGGTTCAGTTCAGTTCTAGGACTGGCAGAGACCGAGCCCCTGTGGGAACGCTGCCCTGGGGCTGGGCCTCGGGGCGGAGAGCTGCACTCCCCAGGTGCACACATGGGGGTCTCTGCACCCCCACTTCCAGAGACTTCTCCATGTTGAATCCCTTTGTCCCGGGCTCCCTCCTCCCCATGAGTCAACTTCCACTTTCTCTGCTCAACAAACAGTGGTCATTGCCTTGGACTCTCCCAGCTTCATCCTGCTGTTGCCTTTGTCCCCTCAGCCATTCTGTTGGTATATGGCGGCGTGTGCCTTTCAAGACTTTATTTCATGTCCTTGAAGAAGAATTTGGGGATGGAGTGGAAATGAATGCAAGTGCTCGATCCTCCTTTATTAGGAAGTGGAGAACCTTTTTAAATGAATATTTAAAAACAGTGTTTTATGGGTTTCTACATTTTTCCTTTCCACTGAATTTACTGGGGTGACACTGGTTAACACACTGATACAGGTCTCAGGTGCACAGTTCTACAACACATCATCTGTACCCTGCATTGTGTGTTCACCTCCCCGTGCGGGATGGATTTTAATGCACAGCTAGCAATTTCCTGCCATAAATAATATCCATTCAATCATGGACTTTGACATTAGGGATTTTGTTTTCTAGTACGCAGCAAAGTCAATACATAACCGTTACATAAATGCTTTAAGGTGTGTTCGCACACCGTCTTAAATAACCTTGCATAACTCCAGGAATAAACGTACTCCACTTTGCTGAACACTGAACTTTTGTAGTTCTTTGCCTTCAATGATAAGAGCCTGATTGTAGACTCAGTCCCTGCTTGCTAGAACTGCTCTCAAGAGTTTCCTTCAGCCTTTTAAGAATAAGAAGAGGAGAAAGAGTAAGTCAGAAAAACATGTGCAAATTTAGGCCCAGAAAAGTTAAGATTGAACTATATTCTGGAAAGGGCTCAGCAAACTCAAATTGTTGTAGATTGTCTTATAGACATCTGGGCAAATACAGCGACCTCACACTAAAACGCGTTTTGTGTGTTTTCTTACCCCGAGGATTGCCAGAGCGCATCAGTGCCCCAAACTGTCCCCGCCTTCTCCTGGCTGTCCTGGGAATTAAGAGGTGACAAGGTTTGGAGGAGCAGAGAGGAAACATGTGAAACCATGAGGTAAGGGTGGCAAAGCCACGCCATGTAGATCAGGGGTCAGTAACCTCTGACCCATGCCCGAAATCCAGCCCAGCACCTATTTTTAAAATACAGTTTTATTGAGACACAGCCGTGCCCACTTCCCTGAGGGTGCCTACGTGGCTTTTGCTACCAGAGTGGAGTAGTTGCCACAGAGACCCTATGACCCCAAAAGTCTAAAATGCCTACTTAGCTGGCTCTTTATAGGAAAAGTTTGCCGACCCCTGGTAGGTCCCCAAGGGACCCTGTGGAGAACAACAGCACCCCAGTCCTTTTCATAAGCAAGAAACCAACCTCTGAGATTCTGGGACTCTCACACCATCATTTACCCTGATTTCACAAGGCATGCTTACTCAGCAGGAGCTAAACTAGGAGGTCCTAGAGCTGCCTGCTGGCGGCGGCCCCACTGGCAGTGGTTTGTGCCATGTCAGATGACCATCTATGCCCATGGGGGAGGGGGTGCAGCTCTCCTCTCCGGGACCCACGCCCAGGCTAAAATTCTCCACACCTGTTCTGTCCCAGTAGGTCCTAGGACCAGGTTGACCCCTGGGAGTCACCACCTAATAACGCAGCCTCAAGGTCATTGAGATTGGAGAACGTAATGTGATTTGTGCCCAATGATCTGAGTGTCAACAAGGAGAGGTTCCCTGAGGCTCAGTGAATTGGCTACAGTAAAGGTGACCCTTGATCAGGCCGGTGCCTGGTCCTCTAACTGGAGGTCATGGTGGTGGACAAGGTGTCCCTGCCCTGATGTTACTGACTGCCCACCGTCCACTTTTCCCATTGGGTGACTTATTTTCAGGTCTGCACTTTTGTAAATCAGTTAGCGGTGTTGTTACTTATCGTTCACTTTTTATGTTTGCCAACATTTTACTTTTTTAAAATGCAGTGACACACCTTCCATGCTCACCTTTATTTGTGGCAAGTCATCCAGGTCTTCCACGTATGGCCATGATGTAACATTTTCTTATTGAATGAGTGTGTTTAAAGTAAAAGACACTGGAGGGAAATTGCTAACAATAGTACAGATGGTGTGCTGACATGGCAGAAAGGGAATGTTAATATGAAAATAACTGAGGTTCCAGAAACATTGCTTGTCTTCTAGGCTCCACTGGAAAATTCACAGAATTCTAGATCCACAGAATTTTGGTTGGGAGTGGATGGTACATAAGCCTCTCTTTCTCCAGAAAGGGACACCGGGCCACCCAGTGGGCCCCACAACTCCTGGTCTGCCTGTGCCGTGTTCACCACAAAGTCTGTGCTAATTCATGCCATGATTAGTGGTCAAAGCCAAGTGAAGGGCATAGTAGCTCATGGGCTCACACTTGTCCAGTGCTTCCTGCGTGCATGCTCACCATATATCTGTTGAGTAAATTGATGGACATAGAGGGGTGGGGGTGTTAATTTGGAGCCCCTGGGGGTTTCTTCTCTCCTAAGACTTGTCTAGCAGCTTAGGAGTTAAGGCCAATTCCTAGGATTTTACTCTCCAGATAATCCATTTCCACACGGGAAACCTGAGGGAGCTCCCCAAGGGAAAGCTGTGTTCCCAGCCACCTCCCTAGGACAAAGG